AAGCGCCATTGCCGCCACCAACACCGGCGCACGCGCGGGAAAAGCTTGAAAGCCCCCACGCCGCGGAGCCACAGTAAAACCCCGCCAATCGCATGCTGCTCCCGCCCTTCTCCGCATATCCACATCTTTCCGCGGGCGGCCACATTTCAGAACAAAGGCTCTGGAAAAGCCACCCGGGTTAAGCGTTGCTCGCCCCGTCATGGCCTCCCAGTCACTGGGCCATGGCAACGATGACCGTGAACGCGAGGACGACGCGGGCAGTCGAGGGCGACGGGGAAAGGCGAGGGCGACGGGGAAAGCGAGGGCGTCGCGAGCAAGCGAGAGCAAGGCGTCGGGATGGGCTAAGCGGGGTAAACCAGGGGAAAAGCAAGGGTGACGGAGGCACACGTTGCGTCACGCGAGTAGACGAATCGGGTTCTTAACGCGGCGCGCGCGAATGCGAGCTGTATGGTACTGATATGAATTGGGCATTGGCGACATGGGCTACTTTAGTATACACAGGAGCTGCAGAGCGGAGGGCAACAGCAGCTGCCGAGCGGAGGGCAGCAGCAGCTGCAGAGCGGAGGGCAGCAGGAGCTGCCGAGCGGAGGGCAGCGGCAGCTGCCGAGTGGAGGGCAGCGGCAGCTGCAGAGCGGAGGGCAGCAGGAGCTGCAGAGCGGAGGGCAGCAGCAGCTGCAGAGCGGAGGGCAGCAGCAGCTGCAGAGCGGAGGGCAGCAGCAGCTGCAGAGCGGAGGGCAGCAGCAGCTGCCGAGCGGAGGGCAGCGGGAGCTGCAGAGCGGAGGGCAGCAGCAGCTGCAGAGCGGAGGGCAGCAAGAGCCGGTTTGGGTGTTGGATGTGGAGATGGCGGACGAGGCTTGCACCGATGAGCTGGAATCAAGCCCCATGGAGGGGGAGAATGCCAACCCTGATTCCCCGGACCAAGCGGAAAGGTCCCGAGCGCGGGGCCGGGGCCGGAGGCGACGGGCAACCAAACTGCAGCAGCTGCAGAGCGGAGGGCAGCAGCAGCTGCCGAGCGGAGAGCAGCAGCAGCTGCAGAGCGGAGGGCAGCAGCAGTTGCCGAGCGGAGGGCAGCTGCAGCTGCAGAGCGGAGGGCAGCAGCAGCTGCCGAGCGGAGGGCAGCAGCAGCTGCAGAGCGGAGGGCACCAGCTGCCGAGCGGAGGGCAGCAGCAACTGCAGAGCGGAGGGCAGCAGCAGCTGCAGAGCGGAGGGCAGCAGCAGCTGCAGAGCGGAGGGCAGCAGCAGCTGCAGAGCGGAGGGCAGCAGCAGCTGCAGAGCGAAGGGCAGCAGCAGCTGCCGAGCGGAGGGCAGCGGGAGCTGCAGAGCGGAGGGCAGCAGCAGCTGCAGAGCGGAGGGCAGCAGCAGCTGCAGAGCGGAGGGCAGCAGCAGCTGCAGAGCGGAGGGCAGCAGCAGCTGCAGAGCGGAGGGCAGCAGCAGCTGCAGAGCGGAGGGCAGCAGGAGCTGCAGAGCGGAGGGCAACGGCAATTGCAGAGCGAAGGGCAGCAGCAGTTGCAGAGCGGAGGGCAGCAGCAGCTGCAGTGCGGAGGGATGGAGCTTGCAAGGCCGTTAGAGGGGGGCATGGAGACGGAGTCTAGCAGGAGGGTCTTGCCGGCGTGTTCGAGTGGAGAGGAGCACCCAGACCCTACATTGACACCCCCGCCCCGCATTCCGTGCGAAACCTGTTATCGCACGTTCACGGAGAGAGGAAAGGCCACACGCCATATGTCGGCCTGCAGGGCAGCGGACGCCCAGCGTCGTGCTCAGGCGCTTGGGTTGACCCGCGACGTCACAGATGACTCGGACGGCGAACCCCCGCCACCACGTGATATCAGTGAAGAGGTATGGGCCGCAGTTCCTACATGGGACTGGGAGTCGTTTTTTGGGATCGAATTGGTGCCAGGGAGAATCATGCGTCGTATCCCACAGCGCGCTAGATTGGGGGTGCTTGATGCACTGTCTTGTGTCCTGAAGCGGCTACAGTTAAAGGCAGCAGACGAGGCGGCGTCCTTGGTCTTTTTGGCCTTCCCTCGTCTTATCTTGGGGATGCCAACTGGGCAAGGCCAGGGGCATAGGGCGGCAATCAGGGAGCGGTTGGAGAAGTTTTGGGTCGGGGAGTGGCGGGAGCTGTTTGAGTTGGCGGTGGCGGTAATGCAACCTGCGGCGCGTCCTTTGTCCTTCACCCCCCCCGAGCATGATCCTGATGCGGTGCGCCTGGCTCGCTGCCGCACAAGGTGCAAAGTGGGAGAATGGAGTCGGGGTTTGGCGTGTCTTACTGCCGGTAGCATCGCTCAGCCCTCTCAGCACATGGTGGACGCGCTGCGAGCGAAACACCCATCGAGCGAGACCGCCATTCCAGAGTGGTTGCAGGAGGAGATAGTTGAGCCTTCCCTTATCCCGCAGCTCTCAGTGGAGGTACTTGGTCAGGCGATCCACTCTGCGGCTAGGGCGTCGGCACCAGGACCGTCGGGGTGGGTGACGGAGCACCTGCGCGACACTTTTCTCTCTGAGCCCGCATACCTGCCTCACCTGCTAGGAGTCTTCACCCAGTGGACCAAGGGAGAGGTAGCGGAGCGCGTGCGACCCTGGCTCACTGCGTCCAACCTTGTGGGCCTGTCGAAGCCGAATGGTGACGTTCGCCCGGTGGCTATAGGCGAGGTGCTCCCCCGCATACTATCTCGGGCCCTATGCATCGTGCTTCGGCCGAAGATGATGTCGCACTTTGCGCCGTGTAACCAGCTAGGAGTCGGATCCAGGTCGGGAGTGGAAGTCCTCGCACATGCCTTTCGTTCTGCCATCTCTACTCACCCGTCATGGTGCGCGCTTCAAATTGATGTGGCGAATGCTTTCAACTCCTTCCATCGGCGGGAAATGTTTGAAGGACTTCGACAGTCGCCTTTTGCGGGTTTGATCCCATTCCTGCGTGTCTTCTACGGCACTCCTAGCGACCTCTACCTCCGTGCGGGCCCCTTCGTCGAAGCTTTGGCTTCAGAGCGAGGATCGAGGCAAGGGGACCCATTGGGGCCGTTTCTGTTCGCGTTCACACAGCAGCTGGTTATGGAGCCCACCAAACAAGAATTCGCCGACCTACTCTTTCTCAGCTACGCCGATGATACGTACATCTTGGGGCCTAGGGAGCGGGTGCTAGCAGCTTATGAGGTCTTGCGGGAACGACTGGGCGGGCTTGGTCTGGAGGTGCAGCCGCATAAGTGCAAGCTTTGGGAGCGAGGGGTGGACCAGGAGGGAGAGGAGAGGAACGAGACCGTCCCGCCCGGCATGCAGCAAACATGGACGGGGCTCACCGTAGTGGGGGTTCCTATTGGGGAGGAGGAGTGGGAGGTGGCCAGCTTGCGAGGCCGGCTGATGCAGCTGCATGCACCTGTCCCTTGGCTTCCTTTGCTCGACCACCCACAGATTGCGTCCCATCTGCTGGCGATCGCAGTGTCAGCGCGCCCGATTTACCTCACAAGGACGATGCCTCCACGGCCTGAGGTTGTGGAGGCTTTCCGCGACTGGGACACGAAGCTTGAGGATTGTTTTGAGCAGCTGTTTCCAGATAGCACCTGGGATCATGATTCGGCAAGGTCGCAGATGGCCCGTCTACAGCTGCACCTTCCAGCCAGACTTGGAGGGTTTGGCATTCGATCTGCAGCTGACCTTAGCCCTCTGTCGTACGCATGTGGTGGGTGCCAGGCAGTGAGCGATGTGGCTCGGATGGGGGTGGCAGGGGAGGAACGGATGTTTGAGGAGTTTTTCCGCACGCCCGAGGCTACGACCTTGCTGGATCCTTGGTTTGCGAGAGCTGTGGAGCTGCTGCCACAGTCGGTCAGGCAGGAGATGCCACCCCTAGCCTTATGCACCGCTGACCCCCCTGTGCTGCTTTTCCCCACACAACACCGTCGCCTAGCGGTTGAGAGTCTGCAGACTCTTCGGGGTATGGCCCACGACGACGCCACCATGGCCCGTTTGACATCCCTTCAGGGCCCGGGGGCAGGGGCGTGGGTCTCCGCCGTCCCTTCGCACGAAGAGGCTACCTTCACCGCAGCCGAGTGGAGCATCTGTGCGTCCATGCGCCTAGGCCTCCCCATACAGCAGCTGATAGTCACCGGCAAGAGGCTTTGCAGCGGGCTCAGGCGCGTGTGATCTTGTTGCGCGCGGCGTCGATGATGAGAGGCCCAGAGGCTGTTTCGGTGGAGCGGGAGGATTTTGAGGAGGAGATGGGATGGGATGCTCCGTGGGCGGATGCGCCCTATTTGGTGGACATGCGGGTTTAGAGGGTGGGTTTAGGTGAGGGGGGTGTGGGGTTTGGTTAGATGGGGCGTATTGTTGGGGTGTCTCATTGGGGTGTCTCGTTGGGGTGTCTCGTTGGGGGTATCTCGTTGGGGTGTCTTTTGGGGTTCCTTATGTGCTGTTCTACTGGGGTGTTCTTGAGGCTGCGTTTTCCGTTTTTCTTTCATTTAAAACTGAAAAAGATGGTTTTACACTGAAGGATGCATTTGAGAATGTGCTCACGCGCGACATGTGTTGCATTTGAGTGGAACTGTTTCTCGCTACACTGACATCAGGTATACTAACGTCCAGAGTGAAAGATCACAGTTTAGGGTTGTTTGATTATGTCTCGGTATGGTTTCCACAGAACATGGTGTATTCAAGAAAACAGGAGGAATCTTATACGCGATCACAATTACCGTATGGCCCCATCTATCACGTTTGGCCACGTGAGAATCACGTTAGGTCACAGATCAGTGCGTTCTATGATGGATGTACGCACATTTATTCATACGGTGCCCCATATCGCTACCACGTTTGGTCAATTACCTAATGAACCGAACATCGAAAAGTTGAAACTTATAAAGTGCAAGGAATTTTCTCGCTATTCCTTACCACGAACGTCAACATCGTGTACAGCCGCAACCGTTGTTCGCTCGTTACTTCTAACGGGGCTTCGCCAACCTCGTGCGCACTGTTTCACCAAAACTTACACCGCTGGCCCGACCAAGTTGGCCTACGCTTCGCGACTAGACCGAACCTCGATGCCAGCCTAGCACTAGCTAGCCCGCACGCATTGCGTTACCGTTTGCATGTTTCGCGTAGAAGTATTTGTCAAACATATACGACATAGTCTGTGTAGGCTGTAGTGGGGTAGACTATATGGGGTACAACACTGCTAGGCTTTCTTACTTGTACACATCTCCTTGCTAGTTCAGTCATTCCTCTTTCTTCACATGGTATCAGAGCGGGTTCCCTTGTGGGACCGTTTCTTCCTAAGGGCCCACCATTAATTTTTTTTTTTCCTAGCCTGCCCGAAGCGCGCTTCGCGCTCTGCCCTGCCCAACCCTTTCGCGGCCCCTTAGCGGCCTGCCCTGCTCGTGAGGCCCGTCGCGGCCCCCCCTTTGCGGCCCCTTCGCGGCCCCTTCGCGGCCCCTTAGCGGCCCCTTCGCTGCCCCTTAGCGGCCCCCTTCGCGGCCCCTTAGCGGCCCCTTCGCGGCCCCTTCGCGGCCCCTTAGCGGCCCCTTCGCGGCCCCTTCGCGGCCCCTTCGCGGCCCCTTAGCGGCCCCTTCGTGGCCCCTTCGCGGCCCCGCCCCATTGCCCGTAGCGGCCCCGCCCCGTAGCCAGTCGCGGCCCCGCCCCGTCGCCACCCGGGTGTCGCCCCTGCCTCGTCGCGACGCCTCAGCGGGACCCGCGCGTCCCCCCCGCCTCGTCGCGACGCCCATGCGGGACCCGCGAGGCGCGGCTCCTGCGCGTCGCGACGCCCCAACGGGACCTGTGCGTCGCCCCCGTTCGTCGCGACGCCCGTGCGGGACCCGCGCGGCGTCGCCCCTGCCCGCCGCGGCGCCCTGCCCTAACCCGTGCCCGACCTTCGGACGGCCGCCCCTGCCCCCCCCCCCTGCAGCAGCCGCCCCTGGCCCCTGGAGCAGCCGCCCTTGCAGCAGCCGCCCCTACAGCAGCCTCCCCTGGCCCCTGGGGCAGCCGCCCCTGCAGCAGCCACCCCTGGCCCCTGGAGCAGCCGCCCTTGCAGCAGCCGCCCATGCAGCAGCCGCCCCTAGACCTTTGCAGCAGCCCCTGACCCCTGGAGCAGCCGCCCCTGCAGCAGCCGCCCCTGGCCCCTGGAGCAGCCGCCCCTGCAGCACTCGCCCCTGGCCCCTGGAGCAGCCGCCCCTAAAGCAGCCGCCCCTGCAGCTGCCGCGGAGCCCTCCCCCTGCAGTGGTGGCGGCCTCGCCATTGCCGCCGTCGTACGCCTGCTCTTCTCGCCACTGGTGAGCACTGCCCTGCCCGTACTGCTGTTACTGCTGCTCCTGCTGCTACTGCTCTTTATACTGCTACTGCTGCTCCTGGCGTGGCCAGATGCAGCTCCAGCGCCGTTCGCGTGAGTCCCTCTCGCCCCAACAGCTTCGTGAGTGGTACGCTAGTTGGGGTTGTAGGGGTGGCCGCGCTGCTACTACTGCTACTGCTGCTACTGCTGCTACTGCAGCTACTACTGCTACTGCTGCTACTGGTGCTACTGCGGCTACTACTGCTACTGCTACTCCTCGCGGTGGCCAGCTGCAGCTCCAGCGACGTCCGCGTGAGTCCCTCACGCCCCATCAGCTTCGTGAGTGGTACGCTAGTTGGGGTTGTCGGGGTGGCCGTAGTGGGAGTTGTCCTGGCGTGAGTAGTTCGGGAGCTTCTTGTAGTGGCCAGGTGCAGCTGCAGCGTCGTCCGCGCGAGACCCTTTCGCCCCAGCAGCTTCGCGAGTGGTACGCTCAGAGTAGAGGGTCACTGAGTACTGCTCGCTGCCCGTACGTCATTCGCACGGGTGTCCGGACTGGTCAGCCTTGCGGGACACCTGGTCACACAGAGTCCCGCTGCTTCGCCCGTCTTAGAGACGCTTGGCGTACAGAGTTTGGCGACGACGCTGAGCTCCCCTCCTGGCTAGAGCTGCTTAGGCAGAGGGCAG